GGGAGAGAACAGTTGGACAGGCAAAAGAGCGGATAATGATCTGGCTGGGAGGGTGAATTGTTGCCAATGAAGACTGTTAGTGGCTAACAATAGGTAGTATGTAATAGCATACATTGTGATAACAAGGCCTGGTGTGTGGGTTAGGGGGTTGGGCATGGTAGAGTTCAGGTCCTTTGAACTCAATATTGAGTCCGGAGGGCTGCAGGGTCCCCAAATGGAAAATTAGGTGTTGTTCTTCCACTTTGCACTGAGCTTCACTGGAACACTGCAGCAAGCCTGAGACAGACAGAACAGGGTGGTGTGTAAAAGTGGCAGGCAACTGAAAGCTCAGGGTCTGTTTTGCGGACAGATCATAGATGTTCTGCAAAGCAGTCAACCAGTCTACGCTTTATTTCCCCAATGTAGAGGAGACCACATTGCGAGCAGCGAATGCAGTAGAGTAGATTGTGAGGAGTGCAGGTAAAGTGCTGCTTCACCTGCAAGTTACTTTTGGGCCTTTGGATACTGAAGATGGAGATGTAAATGGACAGGTGTTACACCTTCAGGGGTTGCATGGAAAGGTGCCATGGGGTTGTGGGGGAAATTTGATAGTGAAGGAAGAATGAACCAGGGTGACCCGATGGGAACGGTCCCTGTGGAAGACAGACAAAGGGGGGGGGGAGGGGAATATGTGTCTGATGGTGGTATCTCGCTGGAGGTGGCGGAAATGATGGCTGATGATCTTCTCGTTGGGATGGTCGGTAAGGACAGGAGGAACCCTCTTGCTGTTGTGGAAGGGAAGAGAGGGTGTGAGGGCGGAAATGCGGGAGATGGGTCAGACCTGGTTGAGGGGCCTGTCGACAACGGAGCTGGGGAATCCTCGGTTGAGAAATACGGTGGACATTTCAGAAGCTCCCTTGTTGAAGTTGGCCTCGTTGAAACATATGCGATGGAGACGGAGGCACTGGGAGAACGGAATGGAATCTTTAGAGGAGGCAGAGTGCAAGGATTTATAGTCCAGATAGTTGTGGGAGTCGATGGGTTTATCGTTTGCTGGCCAGACGTTATATTCAAGCAGCCTCATTCAGTTTCTCTGTAGCGTATTATTTATCATTGCTGGAATCGGACTGATTCCTTGACTACCTTCAGCCTCTTCCATATCTAACATCTCCTCCTTCGCCAGCCTCAGCCTCTTGAACGAGTCCAACCACTCGGTCAGGGGTGGGGAGGAGGACTCTGCCACCTTTGCCGCTGCTGCAGCCCCATACTCCTTGCTCAAAACAGAGCATTCAGCTTCCTACCAACATGCGGGAATATGTAGTGATGTTCAAGACTCAAAACAGA